TCTTCGGAAAAAGCCAGATTTGACGGGAAAAAAGCTGAATTGGCAGCAGTGCACATAGCGCACAGCCGTGCTTCATATAAAAACGGGACCATTTTTTCAGAGCGCTGGCAGCGCACTGACTTTGTCGTGCTGTATTTTCACTGCTCGAGCCTCAAGAGACTGATCCGGTGCTAAAAACGTTTGCTCTACATGTGTCGTCTATGTGTTGTTTGGTCAGTGTTACTACATCGTTGATGGGGTGTGAATGAGTATTCCACAGTCGGTAACGTCCGACTGCAACAGTCTTTGTTCAATTACTTGTCGAGTGAAATATCAACTTCAGGCGGCTGGGCTGTTAATGAGTTTTTTGCAATCGGTAACGTCCGACTGCAACGTTCTTACTTGATTTTTAATTTTTAAATATTTATTTTAGTATTTTCAAATTGTGATTACAGGCACTGGTACATTTGGACGTGTCTGCCTCTGTCGTGATCGGGTTTCCAATAAATATTGTGCCATGAAAATTTTAGCAATGGCAGAAGTTATTCGACTAAAACAAATTGAACACGTTAAAAATGAAAGAAATATATTGCGTGAAATCCGTCACCCATTTGTCATATCTTTGTAAGTACTATACATTTTTTTTGTGCAGCTTGATTATAGCTTAAAATATTGCTGTTATATTTTGGTTGAATTGAAATGAAATCAATAATTATTCACATATGCACGCACACGCACTCACACACACAGGCACGCGCACTCACGCTGCAGTGTGGGCTCACTATGGGAACTTAATTGTTTGCTAAATTTTCTTGTGGACCGACTCTTTTCGTGAAGCTTTCTGATTTTCATTATAAGATAGATATGCATGCATATATACTTTGTGGGGTCTGTCACGCCTCATACATACATACTCTTAAAGAAACTCGTATACCCTGTAACGTAGGCACATTTTCCAATTTGGCACGCCGCCAAAAGAAATACGAGTATATATCTAGAAGAATTTATGGGAAACCCTATATATTCAGCCCCTACTGGTCAATGAACAAATATTACATTCCTACGCCCACGTAAAAGAACACGGTAAAAATTTAATTACAGGGTATTTTTAGTATGCTTCGCCATCAAAAGGCGTAAACTTATTGTTTGTCATCGATACAGGAGATTCTCCGTAGCTCTTCTATCTAAATTTAAAGGTCTATCTCTTAAAGTTTAGTTTTCTCCGTCCATCTGTCCGTATGAAAGCAATTTATTTCGGTGCTATTGAAGCTAAACACTTGGGATTTGGAACATATACTCGTGTATATGTTCCATTTAAAGTGTTAAAATTTTCCGGATGCGCACACTGACAAATCGGAATATATAGTAATTTTTTAAATTCTTCTATATTGTAGACACATTTGATGCTAGAGAGTATATATCCTCGAGCTGACCACTGAAGACCAAAGTTTATATCTCTTAAAGTATAATATCTAGAAGCTTCAAATTTCGATAGTTAAGTTACTAGTAACCTCCTCTATCGACGACCCAAAAAAATATTGTTAAGCCTTTAGGGGCGTGGCATATCAAAAAATGCCCTGTAACTTTCACATTTTTTGAGCGTAAGCATTCAAATTCTGTAGTTAGGGTACCGTTGTTGTCCAATTTATTGATTTTATTAAAAACTAGCTTATCCGGCAACCGTTGTTTTGTCATATCCATTATTTCTAAGGAATATTATTTATTTATTTTTTACTTATTTATTTCTTAAAGCTATTAACACGAACGAGAGTCAATTTAAGTTAAAAAAAAGCCTAAACAAAGTACAGGATATAATTTCAATAATAACACCGTCCCGATGGGGGTATTTTATTTGCCATAGTTAGTAATGAAGCTATAAAAAGAAAGTGTTAGTAAGAAAATTTTAAAGAAATATTAAATGTAAATTTATTAACATAATAAATAATAAATAATTCTTAAAATAAAAAAAATAAAAACAAAGACATACAATATCAATGAAATTTTTAGAGCATAATCATATGGTCAAAATGTGTGTACATTCTAAAGCACAAGAGTCTAGTACTTGAAATACAAATTGGTGTTGGCTGTTGATTAAAAAATGTTTGTATTCATCATATATATATCATACACAGTAAATCTGAAGGCTTCTCGTCTAATAGTATTCCAATGAGGCTCAAAAACAAATACATTTTTCGATTATTCTCGATAAATCGGATGAGTTATCCAAAAAATAAAGCAAACTCGTACTGCGTTTGGTATACATGAGTATGCACACAAAATTCAGCTCTTTAGCTCTTATATCTTCTGAGATCTCGGAGTTAATACGGACGGACGGGCAGACAGGGCTATATCGACTCAGCTCATCGTGCTAATCAAGATATATATACTTTATGCGATGATTACTTCTGCTTGTTACATACTTTTTCAGAAAAACAGAAATGGGTTCAGGGTATAAAAAGAAAAGTGTAAGGGAAACGCCAAAATAGAATATATCCCTAAGATAAGCTAACAGCAAACTTTTTATACTCATTCACGAAGTGAATTAGTATATTGGTTTTGTGCAATGTCCGT